GCGCAATGTTTTAAAACTCAAGCCATATTCAAGTAGAGCTCAACCTCAATATAAAATAAATGAATAAGCTTAAATAAATAAATATTCCACTTGATTCGATTCAGTTTTCCCTAAATGTGATTCATTTACTTCCTTAAAAGTGTAGCCCTGTCTGACATCATTTTTATTTTTTTATTTTTTATTTTGGTTTTTTATTTTTTTTAAATATATTTGTTTAGTATAATTTTTATATGTTTTTTTTTATTTTTTGTATTTAAAAATGAATCACTTTATTTTTAAAATCGCTCAAAACACTTAAATGATATTTTGAGCCTTTTTATAAATAACTACACAACCAAATATGTTTTCAAACAAAGTAAAACATAACAAAAAAAAAGGTGATCCCAAATGGGTCGTAGCTTTTCTGTAAAATTGATTTTAGATGTTCAACAACATTCGTATTACAATCATTAATGTTCCTATGGAAATCCAGCACCTAGGGTATTGCGTGAGCTGCAATTAATCTCACAGATCCAACTCCAGCATAGCATGCCAAATACAATAGCCAACCAGCTGCCTCTCCAGCAATTACTTTCCCAGTATGGATCTGGGATTCAAACAATCAAGATAATTGGTTTCCTTCCTGGTTCAGAGCTCCATTTCACGGACAAAAAATCTCACAGCGGTTAGGTGTAGGACCCAAAAACAGTATTTAAGTCCTAAGCTGCCCAGCACCCCGAAGAGCTCTTTTGGGAGGTGACAAGCGGTATCATAACAGATTAATGTCTGTCAGGTGTGTGGGCTCTCCATGATCCAGTGGGACCCTCGGTGGAGCTGATCCGTGACGAGGGCGTCACGTGATTGGGTGGAGGAGAATGTCACTGACAAAAAATCCCACATCGGATAGGTGTAGGGATGAAAAACAGTATTTAAGTCTTGGGCTGCCCACCACCCCGAAGAGCTCTTTTGGGAGGTGCCATCCAACTCTATTACTATCATCACCATGAATTTCCAAATATTGCTGTCCAACCTTTATGACGAAAGGAATTAATAGCTTGAGTGTATCTAGATTTCTTTATTTCTTGGTAGATTGTCTTTAGTAAATTATGGAATTTTCCTACTTCGTGGATATGAAATATTAGTATTCTTTCCTTGTCCTTTTCAACATGTTATCCAAGCAATTCTTCATTCTCTATCCTCAATCTCTATCGTCAGATATTTCTAAGTCGCCGTGCTTCCTCAAATTTTATTTTCTTTTTTTTAAATACCATGATAATGGTTATACACAAAATGGTCTTGAAGAGAAGATTCTCCTATGGTTCTACATCCCAAAGAAATCAAGGTCTCATGACAACACTAATATCCAAGAAACTTTCTCCAATTCACCTATTATCCAATTCCAATTAAAATCTTCTACACTAGAAATATCATCAGTGTGATTGTTTTTTTTTTTTTAAAGTAGTCTTGAATGCTTTAAATGTCTAAAATAGAAATTCATAATCGTTGATCATTGACCCTGAAGCGTCTGATCATATGTTCGAGGATGCCTTCTTGTTTCAAACTCTTTATCTGTATGTTACAAGATTATACAATCAAACTTGTCATTGTGTTTACCTTGCAAGTAAATTGTATCGGGACCATCAATGTCACTAACTCTCTCATCCTTCACTCTGATTCTTAATTCCTAAGCTTCTTCCAATTTATTATTAATTAATCAAAATATCAAAGATATGACTTGCATTATTAAAATTTTTTTATTAATTATGAATTTTAGGGTAATGACTCGGAAAGAATAAATTAGCAAGATACATAAAAATGACGATCTCCGCCCACAAAAATATGAAAGAAATCCTGATGATGAGAGAAAAAAATATTCAATATGTATATTTCTCTAATGAATGCATTATTATGTTGTGACACTTTCACCTTGATAATCCTATATATATACCTAAAGAATATATTATCATCCCTTTCATAGATATAGACTAAGGGTCTGTTTGGGGCAGCTGCAGCTTATCCAGCTTTTGCTGATAAGCAGCTTATCCTGATAATCTGCTGATGATCAGCTGATCCAGATAAGCTGTCTGGCTGTTTGGTTGGCGCTTATGAAAAATAGCTGATTCTGAAAAATTGACCATTTTGCCCCTGTTCTGAATAACAGTTTAGCTGTTTGGTTAGTGTGTTTTGTAAACAGCTTATTTCGAATTTTCTTTTTAATTAAATGAATAATTTGTGCAGCAGAATTTGTTTTTCTCTCAACAAAATTAAAGATCATTGTTCAGAGCAGAAAATACCAAAAACATCATTTATATTTATATAACTAAAACATATCCGATCACATCAAACGAATATGTTACACATACAAAAGTCAAATGAACCTACACATACTACTACAAAGTATAATAAGAGCCCATAAAAAAGAAAAAATAACATGTTAAAATGACAAGTAAAAATATGACAATGTTA